CAAGCAGTCCTCCCGGAGAGAAGATGACATAGCCAAGGTGACCTGCGGCATGAGGGTCCTGTTCCAGCCAGGAACCACCCAGGTAAAGGAGCTGGCCCTTTGCTATGGCGGAATGGCCGACAGGACCATCTCAGCCCTCAAGACCACTGAGAAGCAGCTGTCAAAGTAAGAGCTACCAGTAAAATAAAACTGCTGCTGCTACAACTGCCATGCTAGTGCTGCTGCTACTACTAATATTACCCCTGCTGCTGCTGCTGCTCCTACTACTCTGACGGCTAGTATATTACTTTTGCTGCTACTACTATGACTACTGCTATTACCATAGTTACTACTACTGCTATGATACTGCTGCAACTAGTAGTATTAGTACTAATAGCACTACTATTAGTATTGCTGCTGCTATACTACTATTACTGTTGCTACCACTGCACTACTCTTAATACTATTACTACTGCTACTGCAGCTACAACTGTTGTTACTATTGTTACTACTGCTGATCTTTCTACTACTATAATTACTGCCAATAGTGCTACTCATAGTATTACTGCTACTACTACTACTGTTCCTGCTACTATCACTACTGCTATTATCACTGCTGCTATTCCTACTACTATCACTAATATGACTAGTATTACTACTGTGGCTACTGATACTATTACTACTACTATCACTGTCTCCTCTACAACTAATACTATTATTACTGCTACTACTATTACTGCTGCTACTCTGGGTATTGCTGCTAATAGCATTACTGCTGCTACTCTTAATGCTATTACTACTGCCATTACTACTACTGTTATTGCTACTGCCACTATTACTATTGCTGCCACTATTACTACCAATAGTATCACTGCTGGTACTACTACTTCTACTACTACTAGTAGTAGTACTGGTATTGCTACTATTACTACCACTGCTTCTTCTACTACTACTATTACTTACGCTTCTACTAATACTATTACTATTGCTTCCTACTACTAATACTGCATCTGCCACTGCTAGTATTACTACTATTCGTATTGCTACTGCTACTACTGCTATTGCTATTGCTACTGCTACTACTGCTATTACCATTGCTACACTATTACTATGACTACTAAGAGCTAAGAGTTCCCATTCTTATGGCTGCTACATGATGGTAATTGTACCAAGCACTACACGGGCACTATCCTATGTTATCCTTACAATAACCACATGGATAGATAAAGCTTAACATTGGATTTTGGCTCCTTGGTTCCAATTCCTGGCTCCAAAAGGTACCAGATGGGTAATATGAGTCAAGTTACTAATCTTCCCATGCCTTAGCTTTCTCACTGGTAAAATGAATATAAAAACTTTGCCTACAATGCTTTTTAATTTCAATTAAAAGTAATGTTTCATATAAAGCACTTAAGAAATTGCTTAGTGCATTGAAAAGACTCAATAGATTTAACTTTTATTATTTTTTTGGTCTTTCTTTTATTGTATCTATTTTTAAAGATGAGGAAACTGAGGGTCACAGAGGTTAAGTAACTTGCCTCAAGTCACATAACTATAAATATCTGAGCCAAATTTTGAACCAAGGTTCATATGACCCCGAGGCCCTGTGCATACCACTCCACACAAATGATTCTGAGGACTGGGTGGGAGCCATCTCCCATGACCTGCTCTCTGGCAGTTTCTGGAATGAGAAGCTGCTGCAGGACGTGTGTGCAGGCCTGGCGGAGGAGCTGCAACTCACCCCAGACGCCCCTGGTGGCAAGGTGGAGTTCCGGCAAACCCTCACCCTCAGCTTCTTCTTCAAGTTCTACCTGACAGTGCTTCAGAAGCTGGGCAAAGAGGACTTGGAAGATGTGAGTGTGGGGCCTGGGCAAGGAACAGACTCTCTGC